AGCCCTGCGGAGCTGGTTTGCTGGTTCAAGGACCGCCCAGCGCACAGACCGGACACCAGGCAGCCCCCCAGCCTGGCCACGTGCCCACAGGGTCACGGTGAGCAAGACCAGGAGAAATCGCCGAGACCTTCCTTCCCCCGAACAAGGAGCTCAGAGACGGCGCAGTACCAGCTGAAACCCAGAGGGCTTCTCCGTGGCCTCGTGGGCTACCGACAGGCCACGTACACAACCCAGTTGTCGGCTTTGTGCAGGATCAGGAGGTCACACGGCTCCTCTCTCCAGGGGAAACGGATCTTGGGCACTGTCATGAGCTACGCCGGGCATCCGGGCAACCTCTCTGCCCGTGATGAACTGTGCCCGTGTTGCTTGCAAGAACTCATGGTATCGGGGAATCACCACAAACCCTGAACTCCAACACTTGCCAAGTGAGGCAATGCCGGGCACGGGGGAGGTACCACTTAGTCGGGGCTTCTCCATTACCTGGCGGACGTTTCCGAGCCGCCAGCCAAGGCCACAACGCCGTTAACGTCTCGGCCGAAAGGTGCCAGTGATTTGAAAACGCCTGGCTTCCTTCCGAGGGCTCTGCCCGGCGGCCGGGATCTTCTAAAATTTCAGAACGAATGAAAAAAAAAAAGAAAGAAAGAAAAGAAAGAACTTTGTTTCCCCGTCTTTTTTTTTTTTTTTTTGAAGGGGCCCTTTGATTCGGCCGGCGGTGTGGAGGATTTCCGAAGAGGCGAGTCCGAGAGGCTGCGTTCCGGCTTCCTGGAAAAAAGATTCAACCCAACCCGCTTTCCAGGGAAAAGAACTTTCCGCCGGTGCGGGTTTATTTCTGTTGTTGTTGTTGTTTCGCTTACACCCAAACCCACTCGGGCACGGACCAATGCAGGAGAAGGGTCTGGGGGCAATCGAACACCGCCAAACGGAGACTCGGAGAAGCCCACACAATTCTGCGTGTGGAACGCCAGCCCTGAGCCGAGCCTGGAATTCCAGCGCCCGGCGAATCTCACACCCGGCCCCGGCAAACACTTTGGTAAGGATGGGGGCAAACCACTCCGCCGCCCTGCGGCTGACCCTGGGTGCTACGTGGACCACATGTGATTGAGGGGTACAGGTGGGGTCCGTGGGTGGTGGACACCCTAAAGATGTCCGGAAGGGAGAAAGAGAAGATTGACAAAAGCCACATTCCCTTCCAACACGCAATCTGGGCGACCACCAAAGAAGTGTCTCTCCCCGTCCGTCCGAAAGGGGCTTGGTACACACTCTGACATCACCCCCCACCCCAGTCCTGTACCGGGACCACCCACAGCAAAGCAAACTCCATGTCCTTACAGTCCCCAGGAGCCCCCACCCCGACATACCCCAGAGTCCTGAGCCCACAGCCAGAAAGGTTCAGGAGGAACACAAAGGCCCTTCGAGGCTTACTCCCCCCAAAATTTTTATTTTTAAATCTATAATATGTACAGTATTGCACGATTCTGCATGTAAATTGCATTTCAGTCAAGTTAATGCTGCGAGTCTCTCTCTCCTCTCTCTCTCTCTTTCTCTCTCTGGGCCCCCTCCCATGCCCTCCTCCACCCCTGTCTGTCTGTCTGTCTGTCTGTCTCCCATCCCCGGGTGCAAGGAATTTCGCTTCTGCATTCGGGAAACAAAGAAAAAAAAATTTTTCTTTTAAAAAAAAAGTTCAGCTCGGGAATTGCAGATGGGGAAAAGCCATCCAGGGTCCGGTTTTCCGTGGCACCAGGAATTCCAAAGCCAGTGCCCAGGAGAGGTGAGGGCGGGCAGTGCGTTCAGGAGAAGTCGGGGTGACTCTTGGCATCCTACTCGGATACCAAGTCAGGACCCCGCCACCTCCCCACACCCACACACACACACTAGGCACCCTCACACCCCCGCCTGGCGTCTTCCTTGGCTGTTTATTGCTGAAGTCGGAGGGGCGCACAGGCAGGGCGCAGCGTGGCCAGTGAAGTTGCAAGCGGACGACAATTCACATTCTTCCCTGGAGGTCACCGGTGGGGTCAGTTCTCTGCACTGCAAGGCTGCGCGCGTCGGCGACCCACCCACCCACCAACCAACCAACCAACCAACCAACCAACGGGCATTCTGGGGACGCCGCTCCGTGCCGGTGCCCGGCTCTGCAGTGAGACAGGCTGGCAGGCCTGAGACGTGGGGAGCGAGGCCGCATGCATTGATCCGGGGAGCGGGCGCGGGGGGCGCACGGAGGCGCGCTGGGGGGACTTGGAACGCGCGCCCCAAAAAGTGCCCCAAGAGCGCGCGCGCGCACACGCCAGGTGCGTCTCCAGCAGCGCGTAATTTGGAGAGGAGGGGTGCCGCGCGCGCGCGCGGGGTCCTTCCAAGGGCCGCGCCCCGGCTGGCTCTCCGGCGTCCAGGGGAGAGGGAGGTCGGTCAGGGGGGTTCTGCTGTCGCGCTCTCGGGGGTGGGCAGCGGGCCGGGGAGGGGCGCGCGCCGCGGAGCCCACGACGGACGACGGACGGACCGACGGGGTCAGAGTCCCAGCGCCTCGGCGTGCTTGCGCGCCTTGAGCCGCAGGTCGGCGATGCTGGAGTTCTTACTGTTGCTCTTGGCCGCCGCGGCCACTACGGCGGCGGCCGACGCGGACTCGGCCAGCGAGGCGATGGGCAGCCCGAAGGGGGGCGGCGGGAACATCAGGTAGGGCGCGTGCGCCGCCAGGTGCGGGTGGAGGTGTGGGTGGGCGTGCGCCACGCCCTCCAGCTGCAGCTGGGCCTGGACCTGCCGGGGTGGGGGCGAAAGGGCAGCCCCCCGTGAGCGGGTGAGTGGCCAGAGTCCCTGCCCGGGGACCCCCAGACTCTCCCCACCTTCTGCCCCTTGGGGAGGGCCCTGGCCCAGGTGGACACTCCTTCCAGGGGCATCAGACTCCTCCCAGCTCCAGCCCTGGGCATCACTCCCCTGAGCCTCAGATGCGCCCACCGGTCACTCCTCTCCCGTTCAGGCTCTCTCTGGTGTCCACTGCAAACGCCCCTTTGCCACGCGGGGTCTGGCGCCCAACAGAGCCTGGCACGGGGAGGCAGCCGCCCTCAGCCAAAGGGGGCCTGGTCACCCTGACCCGTGTAGAGGGACCCCTCTGCACCTGGAACCCCCACGCAGGACTCTCAAGTTCCCCGATGCCCCCCCCCACGCTTGGTGTCTGTTGATGCAACCGGCGAACACATGTGCAACCACACACACACATGCACACGCAGAGAACACACATGGATCTGTGCCCATATGCGTAGTCCTGTGTGTACATGGATAGAACATGCAGACGTGTGGCTGTGGGTGCGCGTGTGTGTACGCAGGTATGTGTCACGTGTGCACGCAACCATATGCACACAGACGTGAGCAGTACACGCATGTGCACACACATGCACACGCAGAAGCACACATAGAACACACATGGATCTGTGCCCATATGTGTAGTCCTGTGTGTACACGGATAGAACACGCAGATGTGTGGCTGTGGGTGCATGTGTGTGTACGCAGGTATGTGTCACACATGCACGCGACCATATGTACACAGACGTGAGCAGTACACACGTGTGCACACACATGCACACGCAGAAGCATACATAGAACACACATGTATCTGTGCCCATACGTGTAGTCCCATGCACATATGGATAGAACATGCAGATGTGTGGCTATTGATGTGTGTGTGTACGCAGGTATGTGTCATGTGTGCATGCGACCATATGTACACAGACATGAGCAGTACACATGTGTGCACACACATTCACACGCAGAAGAACACTTAGCGCACACATGTATCTGTGCCCATATGCGTAGTCCCATGTGCACACGAGTAGAACATGCAGACATGTGACTGTACATGCGTGTGTGTATGCAGGTATGTGTCATGCGTGCACGCAACCATATGCACACAGACGTGAGCAGTACACGCACATGCACACACATGCACACGCAGAAGCACACATAGAGCACACATGGATCTGTTGCCCATATGCGTAGTCCTGTGCGCACACAGACAGAACACGCAGACGTGTAGCTGTGGATGCGTCTGTGTGTACGCAGGTATGTGTCATGTGTGCACGTGACCATATGTACACAGACATGAGCAGTGTACACACACATGCACACACAGAAGCACACATAGAGCACACATGGATCCGTGCCCATATGCGTAGTCCCGTGCGCACACTGATAGAACATGCAGACGTGTGGCTGTGGGTGCGTGTGTGTACGCAGGTATGTGTCATGCATGCACGCGACCATATGTACACAGACACAAGCAGTACACACATGTGCACACACATGCACATGCAGAAGCACACGTAGAGCACACATGGATCTGCGCCCATATGCACAGTCCCGTGCGCACACGGATAGAACACACAGACGTGTGGCTCTGGCATGTCTATGCGTACACACACCTGCATGGCACAGACCCAGATGTGGGTCATGCCTGCATGCGACCATACGTGCACAGACATGAGAAGTGCACACATGTGTACACGCATGCAGACACACACGGAGCTGTAGATATGCACATAGAAGCACACATGGACATGTGGACCAAAGCATACGCACACATAACACACGAATGTGTGCGTCCACATGCGTGCACATGCTTACACACGCATGGAACAGAACGCAGGCATACATGCCGAGCAGGCAAAGAGACACAGACACGCTTTCCTATGTAAAGACAGACACATGCAGATGCAGAACACCCATGCACAAACACACACACAACCATGGTCGCAGACACACAACCCGTCACGCACAGGCACGTGACTACATGCATGTGTGTGGGCATGTGTGTCTGAGCAGCCGTGCACACAAACACACTTCACCGGTACCTACATGATCACATGCACATACACAGGTGCACACACACACACACACAATGGTTCCAGACTCACAACCCGTCACGCACAGACACATGACTACATGCATGTGTGTGGGCATGTGTGTCTGAGTAGCCGTGCACACAAACACACTTCACCGGTACCTACATGATCACATGCACGTACACAGGTGCGCACACACACACACACGCCCAATGGTTGCAGACTCACAACCCGTCACGCCTAGACACGTGACTACGTGCATGTGTGTGTGGGCATGTGTGTCTGTGCAGCCGTGCACACAAACACACCTCACCGGTACCTACATGATCATAGACACGTTCACAGGTGCACACACACACACACACACGTGAGCACACGTGCAGCCAAGCCGTGTGATGGGGCTGGTTCCGATTCTCCCGTCCTTCTCTCTCTCTCTCTGGGTCCTGGCATGCCCAGAACCCCACACGCTGGGCATCCAGGTTCTGTTTGCCAGACACCCCCCTCCCCCGCCCCGCCACGTGGGGACCCCCACCCGGGACCCCCACCTGCCCCTGGCACCAGCCCTGGCCGTGACGTGGGCGGTCCCAGCTGCCGGCTCAGCCCTGAAGATCCCCCCACCCCGCGCCCCACAGGCTGCCTACGGGGAGGTGCCAAGACCCCCATGGCCGGGGAAAGGCACCGGGAGGGGACACGGGGACTCACTGACTCCTCTCTCCCGCCCCCAAGAAGACTGTGGGGGGAACCGGGTGGGTGGCTCAGGGTGGGTGGGATTTCCGCGCCCACCTCTGGGTTCTCAATGCCGCCTCTACTACGGGGGAGGGGGGTTTCCGCACCCCCGTCCGTCCTCCAGCGAAGCCCAGAGCCTGGCCTCCCTGCCAGTTTTATGGCGTGATTTTCATAAGGACCCCAGGGCCCCGTGAATGCCGCCTTGTAAAAAAGGAGAGGCTTTCTTCCTCCTGAGCTGGGCTGGCGGCGGGCCCAGGGCAGGCGGGCTGTTGCCTGGTGGTGGGCTTCCCTTCCCTCTGCCCGCCCGCCCACCCCACCCGCTCCGGGGGGCGGGGAGGACGGAGAAGCAGGTTACCTGTTGGAAAGGCATCCGCAAGGCCCCCATGTTCACGTACGGGGCCACTCGGCACGCGTCCAGGTGGCTGGCGGTGCCCAGAATAACTCCTGCAAAAGGAAGCGGCGTGAGCAGGAGCCTGTGTCCAGAGCGGACCCTCGCCCTCCCCCTAAAATATCACAGGAAACCCCCCCCCCCCACCACCACCATCAGGACACACCTTTGTGCATCTGATTCTCCTGCTTTCGACACTTGGCCCTTCGGTTCTGGAACCAAACCTGCAGGTTGAAGAGACAGAGACAGACGGGCGGCGGCCACTGAGCTGGCACCCCTGGGACCCCGCGAGGTGAGGCTCCTTCCTGCTAAGGACCTGGCCCAGCCCTTCCCAATGTCTGTGAGACGCGCCCCCGCCCGCCCCCGTAGGGGTTCCAGCTTATCTCCGATGTTGGCTGAGACTGCTCCCTGCAGTGCAGGAATTCAGCATCTATGCACAGAAAAACACAGAACTCCCCCCCCCCCGCCCCCCAATACGAATACGGGGAGTGAATACACACATTAATTTGGCTGGTTTTTGTTTGTTTGTTTGTTTTCCTTTTGGTTTGGGGGTGGGGTCACAGCTGATGGTGCTCGGGGGCTCCCACGCCTGGCTCTGCACTCCAGGGTGATGGAGCTCAGGGAGTTATAACGGAGTTGCCTCGGATGAAACCTGGGGTGACCATGTTCGAAGCAAACAGCTTTTCCCCTCCACTGTTTCACTGTTCTCTCTCTCTCTCTCTCTCTCTCTCTCTCTCTCTCTCTCTCTCTCCCTCCCTCCCTCCCTCTATCTCTCTCTCCCTCCCTCCCTCCCTCCCTCTATCTCTCTCTCTCTCTCCCACCCTGCAAATACCTCTGATTTATTTAGTTATTATTTATTTTGCCACGGCAGTGCTTATAAGGAAAGATGAGAAGAAGACCCCTAATTGGTCCCGCGAAAGCCCCGTCTGATCTCCATATTCAGGCGACAACTCCCTCCTCCAAAATAAATGAGTATATGAATGCAGCGCTTGGTCGAAAGTTACAACACACACACACACGCACACACACACACACACAGACGGTGCTGGATAATTGCCCATTGCTTACCAAAAATAAATAAATAAATAAATAAATAAATAACACTGTCCTCGTCTGTGCCTGGTTCCACCATCTGCGATGAGTTTGCCCAGATCAGGAGGTGGGTTTTTTTTCCCCCCAGGTTCTCTGGGGTTTACAGGATTATCTTCTCCAGGATGGCCAAGGAACTCCCCCCGCCCCCCCCCCCCAGGCCCACAGGCACTGAGGAAGAACAAAAAAAAAAAGTTCCCAGCCTTATTGAAACCTCTCCAGAAATCCCCCAGCAAAGCGCTGAGTCTTACAGCAGCAGCAGTCTTGGGAGAATCCGGGGAGTCTGAGGAAAAGAAAAAAAAAATAGAAACAAAAAGAAAAACAAAAAAAAGCAACTTTGCCAGGCCAGGTTTTCTGAATTCTTCTCTGAGACAGGGAACCAACCCCCCACAGCCCCAACTTTCAAGTGCAAAGAAAATCTTTTGGACATCCAGGCACCCCACTGAGTCAGAAGGTTCTCTGGGTGTGGGTGTGTGTCCTGGGGGGCGGGGGAAACCGTTTCTGAGCCCAGGGGCTTCTTCGGGGAGACACCGAACTCAGCTCACAGCAGTCTGAAACCTTCCGATCTCTCCCCTAAACGTGCAGATGACCCGGGTTCGATTCCCAGCATCCCATAGGGTCCCCCTGAGCACCGCCAGGAGTGATTCCTGAGTCCATGAGCCAGGAGGAACCCCTGAGCATCGCAGGGTGTGATCCCCCTGTCCCAAAAAAAAAACAGGAAAAAAGAAAGGGAGCAAGAAAACCCCACGGAAGACAAGACGAGGACGAGGACGGCGCATAAAAGTGACGAATTAGCCGGCCGCGTTCGGTGCTAATAAATCAGTCTTGGGGTGATCCCCGATCAATTCCAATTAGCCGTGAATATGGTAAGTGAAGCCTGGAACACTAGTCTCGACAGTTATTTCTTCATTAGACGCCACTTTGGCCGTTTCCTGCGGCCCTGCACGCGTGCGCGCTAATGCAATTTCCTTTTGATTTCCATTACAGACAGTGAATAATGACATTTAATTTAGCTCTGCGCCATAAACCCAAAGATATTTGTTGTAATTGAATTACGGCGGTGCTCCGAGGAGCGGCCTCATAACTTTCCATTATCACCGAGACAGCTGCGTGGCTGGCGCCCGGCTCTGCTCCGGACCCCCAGCACCCAAAACAAAAGGTTAATAAGCGGCCTCTTCTCCGGGTTCTGCAATTTATTTACAGCGAATTTCCACCGCCAGATTGAAACGCGAGCCCGGGCTCGGGGCGGGCGGGCGGACCCAAGGACCCAGGAATAAGACACAATAGCACTACAGACCTTCTCCGCGGCCCGCCAGGGGGTCAGCCTTCCCCGGGGCTTCCCCAAGGAACTCTCCATAATTGATTTTTTTTCCCCCCTCAGGACTCCTCTTCCTTGCCTCTGTCTGCCCTGCACAATTTTTTTCCCGTTCTGTGCACAGTACAAAAATCAACCAAGCTACCTCCCTCTGCATGAGCCTGGTTTATTTTCATTATGATGGACACGGTCTTGTCCACGCTGGCAGACCGTCCACGAGAACGAACAAACCGGCGTGCTCACCAAATGCCTCTCTCTCTCTCTCTCTCTCTCTCTCTCTCTCTCTCTCTCTCTCTCTCTCTCCCCCCCCAGAACAAATTCCCGGCGACCACGCACGCTGCCTTGTCCCGCCCAGGTGTGCGGGCTCCCGTCAGTAATAGACTATACTGGAAGAAAGAGTGCGGAATTTAATTACGAGTAATTTATTTTTATAGAAAACAGTGCATCACGGCCGGCGAGATATTACGGAACGCAGCCGGCCGCCGGGCGGGAGACCGGGAGATGACAGGGACGTCGATGTCCCCTTCAGCAAAAGTTTCATCTTTTCATTAATTTGTGCGCTGAAGACCCATCCGTCTTCCCGGAGAACGGGGGACTGGGGGGGGGGGAGGGAGCACCAGGACCCACAGATGGCCTTGGAGCCGGGCGGACCCCGGGTGAGGGTTGAAACACATCCTGGTGGGGGGAACTGGGGTCAGGGTGGGGTTTTCCACCAATTCAACTTAGAGGAGCTTCTAAGCCTTGCAAGCAAGCAACCAGCCTGGGGACCCAACCTGCAACAGTCTCTCCGCTTTTATGGCTAACCCTTTTCCCTGCAACTTGAAGGTGTCTGTCTGTCTGTCTGTCTGTTTGTCTGTGTGCTGGGGTGGTGGGTGCGAGGCGCCGAGGGGCCCCGGTCCCCAGGAGCAAATGGATGTTTTTACCGGCAGCCCTTTGCAAAAAGAAAAAAACAAAATCAAAGCAGCCAGCCTCTGCCCCGTTTTGCATATTCCTTGCACAAATAAAACCTCTCCAGCAAGCTCCCCTGCCTCCTCCGCCCCCGAGTTGGTAATATTAATTCTATGTATTTAAAACGGGTCCCCAGAGCCCCGGCCAGCCTGACCCCCGTCTCTCCGACTCTCCAGGGCCCTCCTGCCAACCTGTACAGAAATCCCCTCTCCGCCCTCCCGCCCCCCGCGAGACCCAGGGGACCGCCCAGCCGAGGGGGCTCAGCCCCGCGCAGCTCGGCGCTCGCTCGGGAGGGGAGGGGAGGGGACGAGGCCCCTCCGGACGGGACGGCGCTCCGCTCGCCAGCCGCCCCCTCCTCCCCCCCGACCAGCCCTCCAATAAATTAGTATATTTAATGCCAGCCCGGCTTCCCCGCGGCCCTTCTCCGCGCGCACAAGTGCCTCCCGCGGTCCCCGCGGCCCGTGGGCGCAGACGGAGATGCGGCAGATGGAGAGTCTGGCTGGCTCCGCGCGCTCCGGGCCGCCGCCCCCCACCCCGGGCTCCCCGAGGCCCCCGGCGGCTGCGCGCCCCGGCTAATCCGGGCCCGGCTCGGGACGAAGGGAGCGGGCGAGGCGCGGAGCTCAGAAAAGACGCCCCGCGCGCCGCCGCCGCCGCCGGGGAGCGAGCCCCCGCCGACCTCTCCAGCGCCTCCGGGAGTGCCCAGGCCGCTGCGGGGTGGCAGATGAGTGAGGGGACAGGGTCGCCCCCAGGCGCGCCCCCCGGTCTAGCGGGGCCGGCTGCAAAGCCCGCGCGCCCGCGCGCGCGCCTCGGGCCGGAGACCCCCGCTCCGTGCGCCCCGCGCGCGTGTCCCGTGCGCTGCGTGCGCCCTCCTCGCGGCCCTCCCTTTACCTGCACCCGCGCCTCCGACAGCCCCAGCCGCTGGCTGAGCTCCTCCCGCATGAAGGCGTCGGGGTAGTGTGTCTCGTCGAAGAGCCGCTCCAGCTCGTTGAGCTGCTCCAGCGTGAAGTTGGTGCGGCTGCGCCGCTGCTTCAATTTGGTCTGTCCGTCCTCGTCCTCGGACTTGACGTCGTCGCGCGGCGGTTTCTCCTTGCAGTCGTAAAGGCCTGCGGGGTCGGGGAGGAGGGCGGACCGGGGGAGGCGGTGGGGGTGGGGGGTCACAGGGCTGAGCGGCCCGAGCCCCGAACACACGCACAAACACACACAGACACACACGCGCGCATGGAGAGGCAGCCCCGCGCGCTCCCACTGGGCCCCTGCGCACCACGCGCGCGCTTTCTTGCTAGGCCGGATGCGCCTTGCGCCCGTGCAGGGTGCAAAAACTCGGGCGACCCCAGAGTGTCCTGACGCCCCGGCCTGCGCGCAGGACACGACAAACCGTGCTGGGCGCTTTGGAGTCCTCAGGGTAACCCTCGGGGGGCACTGGGCATCTTAATCAACTTGGCCCAATTATGCCCCTGGATCTGTTGACTTATGGAAGAACGGGTGCATCACCACCTCTCTCCCCGGCTCTCTCTCTCTCTCTCCCTCGCTCCTTAAATGTGAGTTTTCCGTTGTTCTGCCTTGAAGAAAGACCTCAAGCTTGGGGTTCCCCCAGGATGGGGTGTCTGCTCTGGGCAGGTGTGTGTTGTTTTTCCAGGCCTAACTGGGCTTACAAGCCCGAGAACCAACAGCAGGAAAGGACCCAGGGAAGGGTGGGTGGTCTGCCCTGTCACGCACACAGACACACACACACATAGACACACAGACACACAGAGTTGGCCCAGGGCTTGCTTCCAGTTTCCGGGACCCTGGAGGGACATTAGTCACTGGGTGGGTGTCCCAGGGCACTGGACTTGATACGGTGGTGGCCTCTATAAGCCGAACGTGGCCGGCTGTTTGATTTTCGTCCGTCTGCACCCAGGTCCATTTTCACGGGCTACCCCTCTTGTGTTCAGCGGACACAAGGACACAAGGCTCCAGGGGACTCAGCAGAGTGGGCAGGTGGGAAGTAGCCCTCAGCCCAGGTCTTGCTGCCTCCTCTTCTTCCCGTCTTAAAGTCAGCCCACAGGAGGAAAAGTGTCTCCAGGACCCACTGAAGCCGCGGGGAACTCCAACTTCCTGCAGGATCTGTGTCCCTGTGCTGCCTTCCCGTCCCGATGCCAAGGACGGGGCCAGCCTGGCCAGCCGGGCCGGGCTGGCCACCTCCTCCCCCTGGCCCGCACCCCGTGTCAAGGGCAGGCCCAGGCCCTCAAGGGCAGTCCGAGGCAAGGCACACGAGGCCCCAGGAGAAACTCAGGAACTTGCCAATAGCGACGGGCAGAGAAGAATTAAGGGCATCGTCCGGATACCCAAGGATCCTTCGTTCTCTCCGGGAATGATAAAATGCGTTTCCGAGAATTCCTGCTCCCACCTAGGTCTCTCCCTCACTGACCTTCCTCCAGATTCTCCCTTGGTTCCGCAAGCCTGGACCCTTCCTGGGCAGGACCCTTTTGCTTCCTTCCAAAGCCCTGCTCCGACCCCGAATATGCCTGCCGGGTATACTCAGCTCTCCGAGCTCCACGCCGGCCAGGGTCTCCAAGCTGGTGGGTGTCCAGCCTGCTCTAGCTACGGGGTCTGTGTGCCCCCAGGACGAGGGAATGACGACCCTCTTGGGGATTTCTCTGCACTCCGTGAAAGGTTTTCCTTGGCCCTTCCAAGCTGAAAGGCGTGTGTTTACATGGCTAACTGGCCTTCCCTGCCTGGCACAGAGGGGCTGGCATTGTGAGGGGCCCAGCCTCTAGGGAAAGACCCCCGGACCAGACCGTCCATTCGTGGAGGAAAAGAGGCAAGTTTCTGGACATTAGCTGGAGGTTTCTCCGGCTGGTACTTGGAGCTTGTGTGAGGCCGGCGCACATGTACACTGAAAAACGAAACTGCACCGTCCTTAGCCCCGAGGAGGTGGCACTGGTGGGTTCCCATGGGAAGAAAAAGAGGGGAGTGGTCCCCTGAAGTAAGCCAGGGCAAACCAGTGTCCCCCATGGGCACTAGGTCAGAGAAGGGGCTGGTGGGGTTCTTTCCCTGTGGCCTGCAGCTTTCGGGATGAGCTCGTAGGAACAGGCTGGATCCTTAGCCCGGGGACTGTCTCCACAGAACACAAAATCCAGTCAGCAAGAGGGCTCTGGGGGGGACTGTTTTTGGGGGACATTCCTCAAAAACAGGACGCCTTCAGCGCTCCCTGCGATGCTGCTTTGTCAAGAAAAGCCAGGCTCTGCAACACCTCCTGAGAAACCCCCGCTCCGTTCTGCGGGCCCCTGGTGGAGCTGATCGTGGCCCCCGTTTGTTAAGTGGGGAGACGCAGTAGGTGACCGGCGGGGTCCACCCCAACCCAGCTCGCACAGGACGCCCGGAAAGAAATCTGCCTCGACACCTCGCCTTTGGGCCGCAGAACCAGGGCCGCCTGGTCGGGAAGAGAAAAACGGGACGCGGCACCGAGGGCTGCGCTCCGGGGAGAGAAAACCCGCTCGCCGCCGCGCCGAGGAGCGCGGAGACGCGGCTTCCAACAACGGGGGTCCCGCGCCTCTCCGGATTCAAGGGCGAGGGGATGCGGAGGCCTGGGAGGCGCAGGAGGCGGGAACGCGCGGGGTCGGCCCGACCCGCACCAGGCGCTTGGCCCCATCCCGAGCCGGGCCTCGGAGCGAGGTAAGGAGACGCCGCCGGCGCGGCCCGGGTATTGCGCGCGCCGGCGCGCGGCCGAGGGGCAGCGGGAACAACCGGTCGCTTGGTCCTGGGCCGGGGTCGGGGTGGACGGCACGTTGGCGCGCCCGGGGAGAAGTTCTGGAGGTGGCGGCGCCGCGTGCCAAGGCCCCTGTCCGCCTCCAGCCTCTCCGCCACCGTTCCACGCGTAACCTCCCCGCTCGCCAAAAGTCAGGCGAGCGGGCGCCCCGGGTCCCGGCGTCCGAGCGCGCGCTGGAAAGGCCGGCGCCACGGAAGGCCCGCGGCCACGGCGCCCGGGGCCTCTCCCCGCGCGCTCGGCGGGGCGCGGAGCCGCGGGGACCGCGCGCTCGCTGACCTACCTTCGGCCACCCTCCCCGTGCCAAACTCTTTGAGCTTGTCCTTGTCGCTGTCCACGTGGTCTTTGAACAAAAGCACCGGGCAGTGGCCGCCGCCCTCGGCGAGGTCCGGCAGGTTCGGCTCCGAGATGCCCAGCTCGCGGGAGCGGGCCAGTCCGCTCTCCAAAACTTCCCGGTACGTGATCGAATCTTTCTTGGCGCCCACGCCGCCGCCGCCGCCGCCTCCTGCGCCGCCGTTCTCCTTGGCTTTCTGGTCGAAAGATTTGGAGACGAAGGCGGTGAGCTCCTCCATCGCGGCGCGGGGCGGCGGGGGGTCCGCGGGGGGCTCGGCGCGGCGCAGCCGGCCCGGGGGGCTGCGTCTCCCGCGCGCCCAGGGGAGCGGACGGTCGGGACGGCCGGGCGCGGCGCGCGCGGCAGATCCGACCCGCTGTTATTTATGGCTTTCAAATTGAGGGCTCCGTATTTATACACCGCTACCTCCTCCCCGGCAACCCAACCCAACCCCCCCCACACCCAACCACCACCTCTCCACCCACCCACCCACCCACCCACCCCGCGCGCCCGCCCCCTCCCCGCGCGCGCGCTCCGTCTGCGGCAATTACGCTCCGGGCTCGGCGGCGGACGGACGCACGCACGCACACCGGCGCGCGCCACCCCCCAACCTCCGGCCTCCCCCGGTTGCGTTTCTTGGCGTTTTATTTCAGCACGGTTGGGCGTCGGGCAGAGGTGACGGTGCTGATTTGGAAGGCTGAGGAGGAGAGAGCGAGAGACGAGAGGAGAGAGAGAGAGAGAGAGAGAGAGAGAGAGAGAGAGAGAGAGAGAGAGAGAGCGCCCGGGGTGCAGGCGCTGGCTGGCGTCGGTCTCCAAAACAGGTACCCGCGTTCCTTCTCTCACTGGCTGGAGCAGAAAGGACTCTCTCGGTTGGGGATGGATGGATGGATGGATGGATGGATGGATGGATGGATGGATGGATAGATGGATGGATGGATGGAGAGGTCTCCACCCGCGCCGGAACGGGAGCTGCGCCCTGGCGGAGGAGACGGACCCCAGAGTCGCCCCGGAGGGCCTGCGGACACTTGGAGGCTGCGCCCTCGGAGGAAGCGCGCGTGGGTGCCCGGATGGAGCAAGTCCAGGTCGGCGGCTGACGGTTCTGGAGCGGGCGCGCTCGGCTCTCCACCTATTCTTCCTCCTCCTCCTCCTCCTCCTCCTCCTCCTCCTTCTCCTCCTCCTCCTCCTCCTCCTCCTCTTCCTCCTCCTCCTCCTCCTCCTCCTCCTCCTGCGCGCCCGGCGCCAGCATCTCGGGAGGGTCTCCAAGGCCCCGACAGCCCGCGGTACCGGTACACTTTGGTGCGCCCTGGTCGCGCTGGGACAAACGGTTTGGAAACCGGTTGCTTGGAAGCCGTGTCCGCCGCGGCGCGGACGCTCTTGCCCACGGAACCGACCGGTGTGTGTGTGTGTGTGTGTGTGTGTGTGTGTGTGTGTGTGTGGTGACGGGGCGATTTTCCTACGTCTCCGGGACCCCCTTCGTGCGCGCGCCGCCGCACGGAATCTGTCAGCGGACTCTGGAAGGGGTCACCCGCCTGTTCCATGCGCCCCCTCCCCGGCCCCCCGCTAATAAACCTCCTTGCTCCTTGGTCCTCTCTCTTCCCTCCCTCTGCGCCGCTTTCGCCCGGGTCCCCGCGAGGACGTGGAGGGACGCGCCCCCCGCCCCGGGGACGTTTCCGTGGGTTGGGGGTCGAACTCCCTGAGCGTTTGGTGCGCGCAGCGTCTCCCAGGGCCGGGTCTGCCGCTCACAGCCCCCCGGGAGAGGGTCCCGCCGAGGAAACTCAGCCCCAGGCCCATGCGGAGAGCCCAGACCCCCGCCCTGGGTCCGTGCTCTCGGGGGCTGGGGATGGTCCCTTCCTCTGCTTCCTTCCTTCCTTCCTTCCTTCCTTCCTTCCCTTCTTCCTTCCTTCCTTCCTTCCTTCCCTCCTTCCTCCTACCTTTCCTTTCCTTCCCTTTTCTTCATTTTTATTCCTTTTCATCTGTTCTTCCTTTTCCTTCCTAACTTCTCTTCTTCCTTCCTCATTTCTCCTCTTCCATTTTTCTGCCCTCCCTTCTTCCATCGTTTCCTCCTTTCTTCCTTCCTTCCTTCTATCCTTTCTTTCATCTTTTCTTTTCCCTCCTTCCTCCTTCCTTCCTTCCTTCCCTTCTTCCTTCCTTCCTTCCTTCCTCCTTTCCTTCCTTCCTCCTTCCTTTCTCTTTCCTTCCTTCTTTCCTTCCTTCCTTCTTTCCTTCCTTCCTTCCTTCCTCCTTCCCTCCTTCCTTTCCTTCCCTTCCCTTTCCTTCATTTTTATTTCTTTTCATCCGTTCTTCCTTTTCCTTCCTAACTTCCCTTCTTCCTTCCTCATTTCCCCCTCTTCTCTTCCATTTTTCTGCTCTCCCTTCCGTCGTTTCCTCCTTTCTTCCTTCTATCCTTTCTTCTATCCTTTCTTCCATCTTTCCCTTTCCCTCCTTCCTTCTGCCCTCTATCCCTCCTCCCCTCCCTCCCTCTTTTCCTTCCTTCCTACCTTCCATTCCTTCCTAAATTCCCTTTCCCTCTTTTTTGTTTCTTCTTCTCTTCCCCTTATCCATCCCTTCCCTCCCTTCCTCCACAATGTCCTCTTCTTTCCTCCTTCCCAACATCCTTTCTTCCATCCCTCCTTCTCCCTTCCTTCGTCCTTCCCTCCTCCCTTCCCTCATTTCATCCTCCCATCCTTCCTTTCTCCTTCCTTCCCTCCCTCATCCCATCCTCCCTTCCTTCCTTTTTTCTTCCTTCCCTCCTCCCCTCCCTCTCTCTTTTCCTCCTTCCTTCCGTCTCTCCCTCTCTTCCTCCTTTCCGGGATGACCTTCCTTATCATCCCTCCTTCCTTCCATCCCTTCTTCCCTCCCATATCTCCTTTCCTCTCTCTCTTTCTCCTTCCCTTCTTCCTCCGTCCCTCCCTTTTCTCTGCTGTCTCTCCTTCCCTCTCTCCTTCCCTCCTTATTCCCTCCCGTCTTTCCTCCCCTCGGGCCCGGCCCGCGTCTCTGCGCGTCTCCCCAAGTCTGTCTCCGGAGCGCTGCGCTGCGCCTCTCCGGGCGCGCACCGACACCCACACCCACACCGCGCGCGCCGGGGATGCTCGGGTCCCGCTTGGGGAGGACGCGTCGGGGAGGAGGAGGCGCGAAGGACTGCGAGGACTCGGGAGCCGCCTCCCCTCCGCCTCTCCCTGCAGCCCACCCCACCCCACCCCGCCAGGACTTCAAAAGGCGGCAGGCGAAGGGGCCCCCTTGCAACTGAACAAACAGGTTTGGGTCGCGGCGGCCCGGCTAATCAAAGCGGAGGCGCGCGCGCGCGCGTTATCACACGGAATCGCAAACGACCCCTCATGCATTATGCATCCAAGCGCCCGCCCCGGGTAGGGTAGGCGCGCGCCCACCGCCCACCCGCCCGCCCGGGGCCTGCGCGGGCTGTCGGGCGGGCGCGCAGCGGGCCTGAGGGGCGCAGGGAGGAAGGTCCCACCCCGGGGGGCTCGGCCGCCCCCGACACACCCAGGGAACCTGCACCGCGTGGGCGCACGGGCTTCCCCTAAGGAGGTGGGGGTGCCCCCAACACACCCAGGGAACCAGCACCGGGTGGGCGCACCGGCTTCCCCTAAGGAGGTGGGGATGCCCCCGACACACTCAGGGAACCACCACCGGGTGGGCGCACGGGCTTCCCCTAAGGAGGTGGTGGGGTGCAGGTAGGGGGGCGTCCGAGCTGGGAATCAGACCCCGAGAGAGGACAGAGGGAGAAGGCAGAGAAGGATGGAAGGGAACAGGAGAGAGATGGAAATCCAAGGGAAGAAATGGAGAGACGCCTGGGGGGGGGGGGGAGCGGGGATGAGGATGGAACTGTGGAGAGGAGGAGAGGGAGATGGAGGGAGAGAGATGGAGGGAGAGGAAGATGGGGAGGGATGGAGAGAGAAGGAGAGAGATGGAGGGAGAGGGAGAGAGGGAGAGGAGAGAGGGAGATGGAGGGGGAGAGATGGAAAGAGGGAGAGAGAGGGAGAGGGAGGGAGAGAGAAGGAGAGGGGGAGAAAGAGAAGGAGAGAGAAGGAAAGAAGGAGAGAGAAGGAGAGAGAGAGAAAGGAGAGAGGGAGAGGGAGGGAGAGAGATGGAGAGAAGGAGAGAGAAAGAGAGAAAGGAGAGGAGAGAGAAGAAAAGAAGAGAGGGAGAGAGATTAAGAGGGGGGAGAGAAGGAGAGAGGGAGAAAGTGAAGGAGAGAAGGAGAGAGAGAAGGAAAGAAGAAGAGAGAGATGGGGAGAGAGAAGGAGAAAGGGACATAGAGAAGGAGAAAGGAAGAGAGAAAAAGGGAGGGAGAGAAGGAGAGAGAGGGGAAGAGAAAAGGAGAAAGGGAGAGAGAGATGGAGAGAGGGAAAGGAAGGGAGAGAGAGGAAGAGAGAGAAAGGAGAGGAGAGAGAAGGAGAGAGGGAGAGAGAGAAGGAGAGAAGGAGAGAGAAGGGAAGAAGGAGGGGAGAGAGAAGGAGAGAGGAGAGAGGGAGAGAGAGAGAAGGAGAGAGAGGGAGAAAGAAGGAGAGAGAAGGAGAGAGAGGGAAAGAGAGATGAGGAATGGAGAGACGGGGGTACCCCTTGGGTGAGGGGAGCAGATGGCCGAGACCTCCCTGGCAAATGGGGGACCCTGTATAAGGGAAGTCCCGGGGGGCCCTCGGGTACCTGCAGGCCACGTCCACCCCGCACTGTCCAGGGCAGCACCCAGAGCCACCCCCAGTCGGTCACGGACAGCCTTGCCTGGTCCAAGCCCTGCGCCCAAGGGAGACCCAAGACCCGGCCACGTGGGCCTGTGGCACACAAGGGCCTCAAAAGCTTTGACCGGCTGGACCAGTGGTCACCCAACGCTGCCCGGTCACTTGCACCGGAGACTCCGACGTGTCCGGTCCCGGACAGAGCCAGGACCCCCCTGTGTACGCGGCGTGGCCAGTGGGTGACCCGTCGTGAAGAGAGTCACTCGTCCTCCTCCGTTCCCTGGAGGACCCCTGGGGTCAGCTGTCCAGGCGATGGCCCCTGACCCACGGGTCTCGGAGTTCGTTTGTGCGTCCCGGGCTTGGGGGCACAGCTGTGTCCACTGGACTGGACTTGGACGTCCCAGCCCTGCGTGTCAGAAGTTGCTTGAAGAGTCTTGGGCCAGCGGCCACTTCTGCCGTCGTCCACCCCCTCCCCACAAAGACCCACAACAAAGCCCGAGCCTCGTGGGAAGAGGGGGTGGGCTTCTGGGGGGGACACACCAGGGTCTTC